TCTCTCCCCCCAACCTTCCCTGTCCTCCTTCCCTTCTCTCCCCAGCCTTCCCTGTCCTCTTACCCTCTCTCCCCAGCCTTCCTGTCCTCTTCCTTCTCCCCCTGTCCTCTTCCTTCTCTCTCTCCTCTTACCCTTCTTCTCTCCCTCCTGCCCTCTCTGTCTCTCATCCTTCCTGTCATCTTCCCTCTCCCCAACCTTGTCTCTCTTCCTTCTCTCCTCTTATCCTGTCCTCTTGCCTTCTCTCCCCAGCCTTCCCTGTCCTCTTTCCCTTCTCTAACCTTCCTGTCCTCTTACCCTTCTCCCCAACCTTCCTGTCCTCTTACCTTCTCCTCCCCAACCTTCCCTGTCCTCTTACCCTTCTCCTCCCCAGCCTCCTCCTCCTCCTCCCCATCCACCCCAGGTACTCCAGGTAGTCGCTGCCAGAGCTTCATATCAGGCAGAAAATGATGAGCTGTTGCCTCCACTACCCTGCTGTCTGCCTGCTGCCTCTCTGTTGCTGTCTGCTGCCTCTCTGCTGCTGTCTGTTGCCTCTGCTGTGTCTGCTGCCTCTCTGCTGTGTCTGCTGCCTCTGCTGTCTGTCTGCCTCTCTGTGTCTTCTGCCTCTCTGCTGGTTGTCTGTTTGCTGCCTCTCTTCTGGCTGACTGCTGCATCTCTGCTGGTTGTCTGCTCTCTGTCTGTTGGTTGTCTGCTAGCTGTCTGATGCCTCTCTGCTGGCTGTCTGCTGCCTCTCTGCTGGCTGTCTTCTGCCTCTCTGCTGGTTGTCTCTCTGCTGCCTCTCTTATGGCTGTCTACCTCTCTGCTGGTTGCTTGTCTGCTGCCTCTTTTCTGACTGTCTATTGGCTGACTATCTGCTGCTGTCTCTCTTCTGGCTGTCTGCTGCCTCTTCTGGCTATCTGCTGCGTCTCTGCTGGGTTTGTGTTGACTGTTTTATGCCTCTACTGAGTGTTGTTGCCTGTTCACCAACTGTTTGTTGCCGCTCTGCTAGACGTGTGCTTCTTCCGCTCACTCTCTGCTGCCTCAACTAGCTATCTTCTACCTGTGTGTGTCTGCTGCCTCTCTGTTGGCTGTCTGCTGCCTCTACTCGCTCTTTGTTGTCCCCACTAGCTGTCGGGTGTTGTTATGTCGTGTTACTTCTCGCGTCTAGGCTGTTTTGTCTACCTCAGTAACGCCAAATTCATCGACTAGGAAGCGCTCTTGAGAACGATGACTTAATCCACTATGTACGATGACTTGACTTCTTGTCCACGGTGACTTTTAATCCCTAAAGAATAATGACTTAATCCCTAGAATACAATGACAACCCCTTTAAGCATGATGACTCAAACCCCATGAGACATCGTACGCAAGAAGTTATGTCATTGTAATCAAGGGGTTAATTCATCGTACTCAAGGAGTCACTGTGAATCATCGTACTGAAGGTGTCTTACTCGGTGGACTAAATCCATTAATTTGAAGGCTTAAAGTCCATGACCTGGGGAGTCTTAACCTTTACAATAATTAATTATTTTGTAAACTAGTGACGCTCTCAGTTAGACAGCCTTGAGGGTATCAGTTGTTTACACAGCCTTCCAAGACGTCATAGATTTCACTACGTGTTTTGATGTCCTGCTCCGTGTTTAATAACCCGGGTGCAAGTCTTCCGGAACAAACATCAAAGAAAGTCCTCAGGTGTGTCAGGGTCCAGAGAGTCTTGAGGAAGAAACCAATGGGATATTTGTTCTTCTCTCGCAGACCATCTCCTTTGAGACTCATAAACAAGACAAGTTGAAGAATCTATATCATGGAGAAGATTGCTGATACCTTGCTGAAGCATCATCGCCTCCAGGGTAGAGATCCTTATGGAAGACTGTTTTACTGGCTGTCTAATGCTGCCCTCCTTCGACACCTCTCTCGACCTTCAGGCTCACTGCCGTATTGGTATAGCTGTCGCCCTGTTGTCTTTATCCCCCCCTTGAGCATAGCTTCGGTAGTGCGGGGAGTCGTAACTGTGTTCATGGTTTGGGCCAGACTCAATGAAGTGAATGTCTTCACCCAGAGGAACGTGACACAGGTTGTAGAGCACTCGGTTCCTTAGGTCTTATAGTTCCAGAAAACATCCTATATTAGGTCAATATTTACCCCTGGATGATTGACAGACTTGCTCTTCTCCAAGCCAAATTACATCTTTCCTAGACCACACTATACCAAGAAAGTCATTGTTACACAGGATCTGAAACGGTTAACGATCAGAAGAAACTTTGCCATTTTATTCCTAAAATTTAGGAACTCCTGGCTTCATATACAAGGAGTTTTTATTATTTTTTGTCTAAGTCATTCATGCAACCAGTGGTTCAAGAGAAGCCAGTCGCCTACTTCATTATCTGTGAAATGTGCCATTTCGAGAACGGGAACTGAATTCTCAAATTTTCGTCCGCAGATTGAAACAGAAGAAAATCCGTAGAAATATATACTGGAACATCATATATCTTAACTATTCTATATTTCAAAAGCCAAGCATGGAGACAGAACATTTTAAATTCTGGATGCAAATGCCGCCTTTAGATAGTAAACCTTCAGTTGCTCTCAGTTCCGAATTCCACGAAGACTTGTGTTAAACAGATGACATAGTAGAGGATGTTGGGATCGTCTCGGGTCCTCATAAACCTGTTGTGCATCGTGTTATCCCTGACGTAAGAGGCTGTACAGTATATGCCGGAGCTCCTGGCAGTGCTCTAGTGGATAGCGCTGCTGGCTATGAAAAAACCCGAAGATGGTAGGGGAACATATTTATGCGCAGGAAAAACAGTGGATAATAAATTGGAATCCTAACGAACGAGGGTAATGAGTGCCAAAAATATACTATATACAATGATTTAGCTGAAAACAGAGACATTAGATGCCATATTGTTTCAAAAGTTACCAAAAGCGGTGCTTATGTACTTTTATTTATTCACTTTCAAACCACCGCAATACACTCTAGGAGTGTTGCCTGACATCATTGTTTTTTGCTTTTTCGTGTTCACTTTGTTGTAACACACGAAGGCTCTCAGCGAGGTAGTCTGGAGGGCCAACCTCCATATCAGTAAGCAGCTTACGGCAACATTTTTTTTTAGAAACTAGAGCAAAATCCTCGTGTAGCTGCTTGTTTGCTTATGCTTGAAACAACTTTGATAACGTTATATCCAAGGTTTTTAGTAAGACTTTTGTGGTAGTTTAATTGAACACACCTACGCACGCGCAAAACACACACACACACACATACGTACTGTACGTATATGTACATATACGACCTCACACAGAAGGCTACAAAGCCAGCCCCTTTCCTACCGCTGTAAAAATTATCAGAGATCCATAGATAACTAGTGTGTTCACGCCATGTTTCTTCTTTTTGTCTTGACAGCTTTTGTTTAACGACCCACTCGCTCATAATGTCTTTATATGTAATATGTAATTATTGCTCTCCATTTTACTGTATACCATCTGCCATTGGCTTCTGCAGCTCTTTAATATACTCTTAGTTGTTGTTAATATTTATATTATTATTATTATTATTATTATTATTATTATTATTATTATTATTATTATTATTATTATTATTATTATTATTATTATTTGCACAAGGGCAGGAGACAACAGCGCTGTGTCCTGGACACTATCAGTGTGGTCGGAACCTCAATAAAGATTAACTCGCTCTGGTCAGTTACCAATAAACAGTTGTGTTGTTAGAGGCTAATGACTCACTGTGGTAATATTTACCTGACCTAACTAGACTAAACACTTATATTGTCTCACCTGCTCGTGGGCTGTGAT